ATGCGTGATTACTAAAGAAGAGCTGCAGAGACTAAAACGGGGCGGTTGAGATGCCCATGAATAAGCTAATTTCGTTATGGCGTTTTTAGGAAATTCTGATGTGGTTCGCGATGTGCATGGCTGAGCATTATCCCTAGGTTGTTTATTTTGCCCTAAGTCGGCGCTGCATGGCATGCGAACTGAAATCCACGAACATTAAGCGAAACCAGTTCGATAAATGCGCAATAATAATTAATAAAGCATACCTGCCTATAGATAAGCTGGTTCCATGACCCTTTCATTAGGATATTTTTGATGTGGGTTGCAGCTGCGTTGCGGCTAGCCTGGCTCCGCCTTGCGATAAGTTTTCTCGGAACGAAGCTGCTGCAGCTGCTGCGGCGACTGCCAATGCGTTGCTATTGGGTGGAATTAATATAGCCCAAGAATCCCAAGAATGTATGCGATAAATATACAGAGCGGTGCAGTAGGCATAGGTGGGGTGGGTGAGGCTCTGGCTAGATGGGGGTGCTGCGAACCGAATACAAACATGAATATTCCGAAGAAATGCATTACCGCAACGAGGTAATGATGACATATAACTGCCCATGGATGACCTAGATTAACGAGCTCACGTTGAGCAGACTCAGACATAATTTGCGCGCTGCCTAGCTAAGAGTGCTTGCGGAAAGTAGCTGCTGTATGGCGCGCCGCCCCGCGCCGCCTCGCGCCACGCCGTGTCGAGCTTCGAACACGGGGAAATATTCTACGAAGTGAACCACCACGACTATGCGATAACGAAGCATACCTGCTACATCCCCATGGATGATCTGGATTAGCGAGCACACGTATAGAAGATTTCAACGTAGTTTGCGGGTGCCGTGATTAAGTGTTAGCTTTGTGTGGTGTCAATTGGCCGCTAATCTCTGCACGGGCTCTGCATAGGCATTGCGCGCTTTTATATAACCGTTGCATATATTTCTGAGCGACTCCAGCGGCAGGTTCGGTAAAATCCAGGTGTTGGTGAGGCTTGTGACGTGATGCGGAGCCTCGGCGCCTGTCGCATGCCCATAGAGGGAATACGCAGGAATACGCACCGACGACTAGCATAGCCGTGTATACGGGGTCGCGCAACCACGTCGTTTTCATTCCTATAGATGAGCTCGATGGGCGAGCATATGGCCGCAAGATTTCGGCATGGTTGAGCGCCCGCATGGGTCATGACGCTCGCATGCCAGCGGCTGCTGCTTTATGCGATCACCAAGCGATGATGGGAATATGCATTTATGCTTAGCACCCTGATATGGGCTTAAATGTAACGTCTTCTTTATCCCCGTGGATGAACTCGGTCAGAAGTGCTGGTTTTGGATGATTTCGGCGTAATTTGCGGTCGCCCTGGCTGAGCGTGGCGATGATACGGACGTTTGTATAGGACTGCGGAGTGCAGAATGCCCCCACCATCGTCGGTTCCGAGAGAACTTCGAGAGGTTCTACCATCTCTACAATACAATACAGCATTTTATCCATTCTAAACCTGCTCAGGTTTTCGGACCGGTTGCCTGCGTTAATGCGAGAACGCCGCGAACTCTTATGTTCGCAGCGCCATACCAACATCTTTTCGACTACCACTATTGTGAATCCTCGCCCAAGCGCAGTGCAATGAGGCTATTCGACCTGCCTGTTTGCGTCGCGCGCCCTGCCAGACTTAGATAGTCGATGTTGCGAGTTGATGTGCAGCGGTTGATGCACAATGGAATCTGATCGAAGCAATCAGAGCGTAAGGATATTGGCACCCTTCGAACTTCGACCGCGAAGCCCGCCTCTAGCAGCTTACGCGGCATGAGCAATTTTGGGCTTGGGAAACATGAATCCTATCGCGGGTGGTGGAGAGATGCGTTTTTCTGGTGGTTTGGAATATTCTTTTCGTGTTCTTTGTGTCTGGGCTGGATGCTAAGGCTGAAAAATGAAGATGCGGACGATGAAAAGCTAAAATAACCCGCGCAACGTAATTAGCTCGGATTAATTATAACTGTATATTAACCCCCATGGATGAGTTCGTTTGATCTAGTTGTTTTCGCGTTGATATAGGTTGTGGTGCGGTCGCCCTAATTAACGGAGGGGCTTTGACTTTGTAGAGCCGCTACTAGAGTTATTCGACTTGCTCTGCGCCAGTCGAACAATAACTATTAGCGATATGACATACTAATTCAACCGCGTATATCAACCCTCGATGGATAGTAATACTCTGTAGGGGTAGGAGATCGAGCCTTCGGTTACACCCTTGTGAGCTCGTGATATACATGGCTTGGGAATTGTGACCGCTCGTAATATACGGAATGCAGCCACATCGAGCTGGTGTAAGAAGGGCAGATAGCTACGATGTTGCCAGAAGAGGAGGTCAAAGAGGAAGAAGCATAAGAAGAGGAGACACAGTCGAGTGGTTCTGTGCTACGAATGCTCATCGACCAGCAAGACGTAGACTTTAGCGCTTCTTCTTGCTCTACAATTTAGTGTACGCGGCGCTGATGGTTCTAGCTGCTAAATAAGTCTCTGCTACGTGGCGTCGGCGCCTCAATGGCGAGTGTGGATATGTATGTTAAGCGTGTTTACAATTGTCTCTCTAAGAGATGGGGGCTAGCCTACATCTAAGGTGTGTAAGGAATGCCTCCAAGCTATACCAAACGCTACAAGGGCTTCCCGCCAGCTAAACGCAACCTACTTCACGCCGACCCTGACTAAAAGCTCACTGCATGCTCAAGATCTGTTCTCTCCCCACCCTATGGGAGCTTCGTTGATGCCCTGGCTGTCACCTACGAGCCACCGTTCCGCATCCGAAAACCCACCAGATCCTCGCTTGCACCATTCAAATCCTACGGTGCCCAACGAAGCCCTTTCGTCTAGTCGCACTAGCGTTCCAGCTCACCCAGCTAGTTCTCCACATCGCTCAGCCGCCGCCAATAGCTCTCCACGACCGTGCCATTCGCGTGCCATTCGCCTGCTCGAGCTCGGTCTCAGTCTCGGCGTGCTCTCTATGCATCCCATCGTACGGGCTTTGCGGCGCTTCCTGCTGACTTCGAGGCATCGCGGTTTGCTCCTACGATTACGAAGACATAGAGGGCATATGCCTTCATCTATTCGCCACGGAGGTCTTCCAAGAAGCTAACGACGGCTCCCGCTTCTTAAACCGCTTAGGTGTACGGTTACTGTTTCCACATCCGCAATCGCCTACACATCCCGTTCTCCGCTTTCTCGAGCTAGGATGCATTTCCTAGATAACTATTGCCGGGTCGGGCCTCCTTTTCATCTAATCGTAGGATCACCTGTAAGTTAGCGATAACGTTGCCAAGGGGTTCATAGAGCATGTGCTTGCGGTGTGGACTGGGTGTCTGCTTATAGACATCTAATGGACACGAAACGAGGCCATTCACCGCTTCGACGTTCTATGGCAGAAACCTTTTCGACGCCTCCAAGCCCTCAGTTGCATTCACACAATCCGATAACGTCGATTTCGCGGCTGCTTTCTGCCTTCCCCCCTGCCTGCACCCCGCCCCCAACCTGTTGCATGTGGATCCATCTTCATGAGACGCCCGAATTTCAAACGACAAGTAGACACTTCGGGCAACATTCACTGCATGTCGTTGAACCCTCAGGAAGTTGATTCCACCCGCAATTCGACGGATATGATGCACCCATGTTGCGACTCGCCTCATCCTCCTTCGACGCGCCTCTGGTTCCCTTCGACCGCGCACTGCATCATCGTTCTCCATCTAGAACGTTCTCACGCCATGTTCGGAGCCTCGCATGCCCCCTCCTCGATCCAAGCCCTATTAACATTGCTCGTTCTTCTTCCAGCGGTTTGATTGATTCTATCCGAGAAAGACCTGTGACGTTCCAACCTGCAAGCCACCTGAGTGCTTCATTTTGTCCATGAAGAGCACCGCCCAGCGAGCTTCCTCGTGAGATACAAGAAGAGGAGCATCTCTGTGTCCACCGGCATTCCTGAGTTCCGTTCATCCACTAGTTTATTCAAGTCGCTCCACAAGGGGCACACGCAAGTCTTTGAGGAAGGGTCCATTCGACGCATCCATCTACCAAGAGAACTCGTCAACATTATCCTCTCAAAACATCCAACGTCTCCGTTCAGACTCGGCATCCCGAGGAACAGTAGAACGAAAGCCGGTCCTATCCCTAAGCTGTAAAATGGACTAGCTTCTTGCTTAGTATTAGAGCTAACATTACACAGTTGTAGACACATGACAATCTGACGCGCAGACACCGTTATTTGGCACAGGCTGAGGTCACATCACCTTCTTGAAGGGTGGTGATCTGGATGAGATATTTCGTGGATAAACGGCAATAATACTAGGTCTCTCGTGCGTCCTCGAGCCTTTCGTAGCTTCGCGGGGGGCCCTCTGTTTTCTGGGAGAAGTTAACGTTCGGTTCCTAGCGGGCCTTTGGGAAAAGCTAAGAGCTCATCATCTGGACTCGGCGTTTGTTCGATAGTATCTGATTGGAACGGACTTCTTTATCCGCATTCGAAATGTCTTCTTTCGCAAGCGGCTTTGCGCATTTTTAACTCGAGGGAATCTGTTCTCTTCCCCTAGAGCACCATCACCTTCTCTTGCGCGATCCGGGGACCGTATAATCGAGCTGAAGAGACATCTATCGAAGGTCGTGTGAATCGCGTAACTACCAAAGGCGGATACAAGGAGTCCGTTGGCTTCTTACAAAACGAGAGCTCACTGGTAGACTGTTTGGAAGACTATTCTCGCCCTGTGATCCCTTAAAGCTCTTTGGCTAGCGGCCTCGCTAGTCAAATGCTACCAGTTAAGGGTCTGGAATGCAGAGCTCTGAGTTGATGAAGCTGGCGTGTCTGCTAGATAAGGGAGTGGATGCGAGGAGATTCGTCGGCTACATGGCTAATCTGCGAGCCGTGGAGAAAGCTGTAGACCTCTCAGGTAATACCTTCGCGGTCTAATTCGTCTCTGTCGATGAGATCCTGCCTGGCCAATCCCATCTTTGGCTGCCTCGTGAATCCGGACCCAGAGAACTAATAACTAGGGCTTGTCCGGGCTTATCGGATTGCCATTCGCTTTCATGTTAGCGGCGTGTCGTCGTTAGCGGCGGGTGATAGCTGCTTGAGCTTCATGTTGCGGTTGTAAAAGCGGAAGTGCGAGTTGACTGAGAGGACAGAGAACTACCCTTGTCGATCGGCGCCCCTAGACGAGTCTGCGGCCATTCTTACTTATGCGTTCTGGCCGTTGCTTTACTAGTTCAACTCCCCCGTGTCGAGCTCGCGGCTATATCTGTGGACAAGAGATGCATCGACTACTGGCGCAACTGCTGTATCTGAGTCTGTGCCGCTGGAAATCCTCTCCACTGACTTTAACCCTAAGTGAAGCTCCATGGCCAGGACATCTAACATGCATTACGGCACTGCGAAGTCTCCTTCAACTCTATTAGCATCCTTACTAAGGGAACTGTTCCAGCTGTCATCGAACGCGAAGCCTGGCGTTCATGAGCGTATTTACGACCGCTAAAAGGGCTTGCTAGTCGTTCTATGGCTGATAGATTATTACGACACCAAAAGGTGTTTGGAGCTCCCTGCATATGTACTTGCCAGATGCTGGGTGAGCTTGAAGATGGATCCTTCCCTTGACTTCATGCTCTCGAAATTTCTAGGCCATACCAATGTGCACTTTCGAACTCTGCTGCATCGCAGCCAAAGTGTCTCGCTCTAAGGCCTTTGGCTGCTGCCAGGCTGACATAGCTGATTCCGTGGATGGTTGTAGGACTGACGAGCATGGTACCGCGGTGCTGCGTCTGATCCACAATATGGAGCATTATAATAATTCTTTTGCAGCGAAGCAACCATGGAGACAGGCCCGGGAAACGTGTCCATCGAGGAAATCCCTACAGAAGCGCTGGAGCGGATAGAGTCTAGGAAGGACGAGCGTGGTAATGGTGCACTAGATATACGGCGGTCGAATAAGCGATTCCTGGCGCTCCGGATGGCCTATGTGCCATGGATGCCAACTCTGAGTCCATCCTTAACATGAACTCAACGTGCTGGTCGACTATAAGCACCCCAATAGAGGCGCGATTACGAAACGACGCTAGATGCCATTGCGTCTTATATATACACTGCGAGCGGTGACGAGTACAGTACCGCCGGTTTTTCTATTGGCTCCCCTTGAGCCATATCCTCCACTGTCATGGTGATATTTAGAAGTGAAGCAAATACTCGCCACTAGAAGCACCCGCTCGAGCATCCTATTGCTACCCTTCGCTCGCCTGGCGGCCCACAAGGTTGCAATCGAGCCGCTACTGGTGTATCTGTACAGTCTATACTTCATTTCTCCTTCTCTTAGATTGCTACAGATTAACTATCGCACTTTCGGGTTTCGAACGCAAATCATACTCTACAAGTTCCAAACTTAATGCTTCTACGCCGGTATGCATTCTTTTATGCGCCGTCTTAATCCCGTTTCTCGACTACTACATATCGAACATGTCCTCCAAACGCGCATGTAGTCTACCCTCCCCCTCTGTCTCTATCTCTGGCATGGTTGAGCCGCCTACGAGAATATCCCAAAAACGAGCGCCGTTTTCTATTTCGTTCGATGGAGTCTAGATAAATCTCAACTATCTTCGAAATGGTCCTCTCGTCACCATCTGGCGATTTGTTAGTAGTATGCTTCGGACAATCCGCATCTATTTCTTCAAAATTTAGGCATTATCGTATGAGAACGAAGGGCGTTCGACTCGCTAACACCACTTGCTAGTCTGGGTAGCACTTCGAGCCATTAGAATCGCAAAGCTGGAAGCTATAGCGTAGAGGGAGTTTGGAGGAGGTTAGTGTTGTGAGAGAAAGTTGGGTCTTAGATTAGGAGGCAACGAGAGCCGCAAAGCGACGTCGTAACGCACGTGGGTCATGGGGACCCTGTTGATACCGTGGGTCTTCTATCTTCCCTGTCTTAATATCCATCCAGGGAACGCATCCCTATAGGTCACTGAGCACTCTCTAGAGGCTCTTATGTTGCACAAGGACTATGGAGTCGCCATTGACGCCACCACGGCTCAGAAATTTCGATGGGTGCAGTCACGCCCATGCGTTACTCACGAACTCCAACGATCCCCGAGTCTCGAATACACAGGCCAGCAGCCTGATTCAGCTCTTACCGGACAATCTCGTAGTCGGATTCAGCGCTAGAGAACTCCGCCTCAGTGCGCATGGCGCCGAGCTCGTGTCCCAGAAAGCCATTATAATGTTGAAACCCTCCACCAACGGAGAATCGACGCCGCGCCCAACTCAAGCATCGAGAGTCGCAAGAGAGCTGTTCGCACCGTCAGTTGCGTACCCAATACCATTTAGGCAAACTCCAAAGACATCAGACGCCCCTACGAGCCTGTTAAGATCGTCGTTGATGACCGCAGTCACCTGTTTGAGTTAGACATGACTAGGACGAGTTCCTTAAAAGCCAGTATTTACAGCCTGCGAAAGAAACAGCCTGCAAAACGAGATCCAGATAGTTGTTGAAGCCTTTGGATTCACGTTTGACGTTACGAAGATTGGCGGGTACCTTGCAATATATTCTCGACAGTTCGCCGCAGTCTCATTTCTCTACATACATTATCAACCATGCGCTCAACTAGTTTGAGGGGATCGACGTTCTCGGCTGCTTAGAGACAGGTATCAACGCTCTGGAGGGTCCTATCAAGAATAGAATAGCTCGGGCTTAGAATTCCCGCCACACACGCTCCGCAGCAACACTATTCGTATAGACTTTCCACGCATCTGGTTCTGCACTGATGTCTCCAGAGTCTCAGAGGTGAGATCCTGGGTCGCAACCTCTCTCAGATGCTGCGCCGACTTCGGGTTCGTAGCCTCATGGGTCGCATCTTAGATGCGTTTCACGCATTGCAGGTGCTCGTAAGTGGCTCCCTCTCCGTCTCCGGAACGAGGACGAGGCGTCTGGACTTGAAATTAAATTATGGCAGCGGTTCCGTTACGTCGAGGCATGTTCTCAATCTGACATGTAGATGAGATGTGAAGCGGTTGTTGGAAGCCTCGATGACGATTTCGAGCGAAAGCCGCGGTTGTATTCAAGTCGGTTTATCAGTATTCTGCGTACACCACGCATTCCGACTCTAGCGGCTGGTCTGTCGAACTCGCGACATTCTCGCCCACTTGGCGCATCTAGGTAGTATTGTAAAAAGACTGCACCCTGAGATAACCCCCAGTCTTCGCCTATACATCTGTCATCCTGTCCAATGGCCTCAACCGGCTATTGGTAATCTGAGGCCCGGCAAAGGTTGCGGCTACTTCCCAGCTCTTTGGCAAGGAAGGTATATGCCTCGTTTTGTTCTCCCTCTTCCTATACCTACTTGACAAACATCCTTAAAGGGATATTGGCATTGTGGAACGGCATGCGTCCAGATTCGTCTATGAACATATTCTTCTTTGCGGCTATGAGCAGCAGCCTTCTTGTTATTAGGCAAACGCTACTACGATACAGTAATCCAGCACACGGGCAACACCGGATCATGGAAGAGATTGGCGGACGTGCAGGCGAAAGCTACATAGTCAGAGCGTTAAGCACCGAGGCTCCAAGCTCGACAGTGCAGGACGTGCCATACACGTCGTGTTCGTCCATCTTGCGCTCTCCAGTGTGGATGTATTCTTCTCCTTCCCATCGTTGGTCGAAAGGAAGGGGTTGAAAACACTTCGGGCATTTTCGAGAAGCTCTAGTGGTAGCTTGGGGCGTTCGTCGTCGTTGCCTACGTACTAGGCGCAGAGCGTGGCCGTGGCGCCGTTCGCGTCTATTTCAACTCGTCGCAAGAGGGGATGGATAGCGATGAGATTGGGGGAGTATGTATGGCTCCATCGCTTAGTAGCTTGAGCAGCGTGTCGAGATTGGCAGAGTGATTCCTGAGAGAGGGTTCGTTTTGGAACGTGAATGAGGACAAAGGCGACCTTTAGAACTTCCTACCTACACGATCTCTTGAGTGATAACTGAGGGAATGTTTGCAAGCTTCGTGAGCTGTTTTACAGCTCCGACATGGTCGAAATCGGAACAAGAGGATGAAGAGGGTCAGAATGGAAATCGGCAATGGAGGGCAGGCGTGAAGGAGAGCAAGGAAACTCTCGTGAGACGTTGCGAGAAGTCGAGGGAGCCCGATAATTGAAAAGATCCATCAACGCATGGCAACCCCTTGGGGAACCTCATGGGATCCATGAGAAAGCACCGAAACCTGCCGGCGATGCTTAGTGCAAGCATAAGCTTCGCCAACGTCTTCAAGAATGTTCGTGTTTGGATCCGGTAACGCGCAACCTATAGATCCTTGATGTGTGTTGCAGTGTCCATTCTCTAGTCGTATGGTTCGACGAAAGACGCCGGGCGAGCGGAAGCGCCCTACGACGTACGACGTAGCTTTTACGATTGTTAGCAAGAAGGCACAACATGCTATGGATATGTGGAAGTCACCGAAGTGGGAATTTGTTCGCTTTTGCGAGCATTAACGAGAATAGAAGCTCCGTGAAACGATGTGGAGCTATGAAGTATCGTCGGCATTCAGGGGTGTCATCGCAAGCTTTAGAAGATGTCCCTCTCTTCTGTCTCGGCGTTTCACAAGCACAGAATGTGCGCAATAAATCACCACTTAACTCATCCCCATTACGAAACCAACTAGAACTCCTATCCTGCGACTTACGTCGACGCTTAGGGAGTGATGGCGGTTGTGGACGACGGTAGGAGAGAGTGAATACAGCTGTAGTTTGCTACGGCTGTAGTAACTTTATCGTGTATGCTCGAGGGGATAACGCCCTCGCGCGCGATTTATACGCGCCGAAGCGCAACCCATCCAGCCACCTTATCGCGGTGCATAACATGCTCATGCACATTACCCCAAACTGGAATTCCGATGTTCCAGTAATATACGAGCCAGATCAGCCGAGGATGTATGCAGAGATTGGTAGCTTGAGGTAGTTTTGTAGAGGATTCAACAGTTAACGCTAACCTGTTTTCGTCTCCTAATTTCTTATCCATGCACCACACTAAATAGAAACCCTTCGAAGTTGCAGGGAAGATGCACTAAGTGCAGAAGTACATTTCGCATCTTGTATCACTTAGTTGTAGACGGCAGCCCATGTCGTTTAGTATTGGTAAAGGGACATCTCGATTTCGGCAGCTGGAGATTTGACGCTAACCTACTTCGCCTGCCGATGCTTCGACCTCTGCACAACACAAGGAATAGGCTTCTATGAGGTGCAGAATGAGTGCAGCACGTGCTAAAGATTACCGTGCATCATTTTGCGTTTATTTGCAGGCCGCAGCCCTTATCGTTTAGAGTTAGTAAACTGACATCCCGATTTTGGGAGGCATTGGAAATTCGACGCTAACCTATTTTGCCTGCGAATGCTTCAAGCGCTGCACCACACCGAAGACAAGCCTGAAAAGTGCGCTAAAAGGTTGTATTACGTGCGGGAGCATTTTTTGCATCTGGTTTAATTGTATTGCAGGCCATTAATGGTGTCGCAGGCTGTAGGTGCAGCTCTTGGAACTGGGTGGGTTGAATTCACTACTAGTCACATCCGCAGGGTTTGAGAGCCCAACCACACTCGTTCAAGACCTTGCATAGTATATACCGTGTTTTCAATTTACTCAAAATCATTGTTCAAGGCGATTGAAATGCAATTGCAAACTCTAAATGCTACGAAGCAAGTCGTAGTAGCGCGGAGAGTTCGCCGCTCTTTCCCACGAGCCTCGAAGTCGCTATGCTTACTCTAGAAGAATCTATAAAACATGCAGAGCGGTTGCATCCTACTAAAAAGATATCTATAGGACTGACTGCAATGCAGTTGCAAGCCCCTAAGAGCACAACAATGGTCGGTGCAGACCGCAGAGTTTAACCTTGGTCACATGCCCAGACCTTGCCTTCTCACTCCCAACCTCACTCATGGAAGAGGCTGTACAACATGCAAGACATTTGCAATCTCACCTTGCCCGCTGGATAAGCTAATTTGCAATGCGCTAGTAAATTCCTCAAAGCTTGAAAGTTGTTAGTGTAGCCCTGGAGGGCATGGGAATTCATCGCCTACACTTACGTTTCTTACCATGAGGACTTTTCCTAACCACGCTCATCGAAGACCCTGCAGGGCATGCAATACGATTGCGATCTTACCTTCCGCAGTCAGCAAGTCGATTGCAATGTAGTTGCAACCCGTTAAGACTATAACGGAAGTCAGTGTATGGCATGGAAATTTCCCTCTAAGCACGTGCTTGAAGCCGTACATACCCAGAACATTCCCCAACCGCGCTTGTCCGAGACGCTGCAGAGCATGCAATATGTTTGCAACCTAGTCCCCCCCTTCTGGATTGTCACTTGCAAAGCGTTTACGGGCTCAATCGTCGAACATCGGTGCGTTCGAGCTCTGCTGACGCCATCGATGGCTGGCTCGAGCAGAATGCCCATCTCTTCCGTTACCAAACTCTGTAACGTCCTTGCATACCATGCAAAACATTTGCGCTATAACTCTACTTATCTTTAAAGCCACTCGCAATGCGTCCGCAAGCTCCGTCGTTAATCGTCGGTGCATTCACGCTCTGCAGATGCAGTTGATGTGGAGCTCAGTCCATGCACCCTTCCTTTCGTTACTATACTCCACCACATCCTCCTATACTATGCAATTTGCTTGCAATTCTATCTTACAACTCTAAAAAACTATTTACGAACCGCTCGCAAGTTCTGCAACTAATTACCAGTGTGTTTGAGCCCTTCGGACCCGATCGACGACTGTCCTAATCCATGCCTCCGTTTTGTTACCATACTTCGCCATGACATCTAATACGATGCAAAGCATCTGCAATCCCATTTCCCACATTGTAAGAAAGACTTGCAATGTATTCGCAAGCTCCGGCGTTAATTATGGGCATATCTGAGCCCTCTCGAACGCCAATTAATGGTGGCCTGGATCCACGCCCTTTATTCGTTACCATTCCCAACCGCGTCCCTTTACGCCATAAATATGCTTGCAAAATGCTCCCCATGGATGAGGAAAGAGATCGCAACATCAGTTTCCGAATAACTTCGCTGTTTATTAGTTATTTGGTGTGTTCGAGCGTTGGAATAATGGTCAGCGGCCAGCTCAATCCACGCCCTTTATTTGTTACCATACTCTACCACGTCCTGTTATACTATGCAATATACTTGCAAATTGCTTCCCATGGATAACGAAAGAGATCGCAACATCGATCTCCAAGTAACTCCACTTGGTGTGGTCAAACTTTTAAGCGCTAGTTGGCAGCCAGCCATGTGCTCACCTTTTTCGTTACCATACTCTACCACGCCCTTGTACACCATGCAATATGCTTGCAACCTATTTCTACCTATCCTAAATATTAACTGCAATGCGATTTCAAGGTTACACGGTAAGTATCACGGCACGGTACGCTTCGTGGGGCATCGATTCATACGAGAGCGTCCTATCCCCCATGAGAGGCCAGTTGGCGACATCTTCCCCCACCCAACGAATCCGCAACGCCGCTCGTAAGAGGCAGGGTGTACGCCAAGCAAGAGAAGACATGTAGTAATATCTAGGTGCGCAATCCATCATAAATAACCGAGGATAAATTATTCCTTACATAGGCCACTCCGGCGACAGCCACTTCGTCGGAATGTCTAAGGGACACTTAGAGCTATTATAACACATCTCACGCTAACATACAACGTTCTATCAGCTACGATAATAGAGAAGCCTAAGCCATGAAGGAGATTTGAGGCTAGAAGGGACGTAGCAAGGCTGGCACGACGCCGACGGGTAACCCTAGGATGAGTACGGTGCAAGTAGCGATGTTGCTCCCATCTAGTCCTACTAGTCCTGCACTCCAAGAAGTCTATATTTAGTTAACATTATCGGTGAACCGCATTACGACGGAAGTGGCGCTTAATCCCGCTATCGAGCGCCCGGAAAGTTCCCCCAAAAGTGCGCCAAGCAAGTCCACGCACCAAAGGAGCGCATTTACATGTCGCCGCAGGTAGATACACCAACGCCACGCACATTCGACATGGAGAATATTATCCGTAACTCCGCAGGTAACTAAGGCTGTCTCAAACTAAAAAGGCTGCTAGAGAGAGAAATTCAGACTTACACACTCGCAGTCAGCCGACTAACCTTTGCTGCTTCCTAATATCTCAACCCAACCCGTCTCTTTCTCAGCCAGCTATACTATTCAAACAATTACACGAGAAGCTCGGAATTCAAAGCGCGCCTCTACAAGGTCCTTTTATGCTTATACTAATACTAATACGCAGGAGAATACGCACCGTAGCTGTCATCTCGATTGCCACTTCGAGCCTAGTGTCCACAGGAAGAACCGCAGCAGCTCTCCCAGACACTTGACCAATGCGACTCTGGTTGTTCACGCTGTCGACAGGCGAAACGCTTAACGTGAGCAGGTGCGTAGACACGTTCAAGACGGCAAAGTCATGCATATGATATCGAAAGAGCTACTTCAACATCGTTCTTGCTACGGTGCAGTCGTTCCTCCGGCGGATTTTGACTGCCGCTATTCCGCCCTTAACATCGTGGTTAGGGACATAGCTGGTATTGGTATCGTCGCCCCGCGCGCGGCCTCTAAGGCGTCGCCAAGCTCTTTCGGACATCGAGGATGATTGAAAAGCTTGCATGGCTAGCGCAGGCCGGTCGGCGAAACAGTCCTCACGGCTTTGGAGGACAGCGACGTCGGGAAGCTTTCCAAGCTGACCATCCGGTCGATGGTATTGTCAGCTTATCGACTGGCGGATCATCTGAACCGAGGCAGCGATCCGTGATCCTGGCACGAGGCCATGATACGAGGACCAGACGCGATCGCCGACGTACATTTAATTGGGGGACCGGCGAGGCGAGCCTTGATTGCGGGCAGTCTGAGCATATTGCCGCCCAGTCCTAGATGCGGACGAGTTCGACTGGGGCATTGGTCCCTTCGTCGTTGATCTCATCATCAATCGCGGCATCGTGCTTGCCAAAGGACCGCTAAGCCCCATCATCGGCGGCTGACGCGCTGTGTGCTTTGAGCAGAGGTGTGTTTGCTTCTGGGGAGACGTGAGATGTTCGACACATCTCCCGTCGTTTTGGTGAGAGCGGTTTGAACCTGCTAGAGGAGATGAACGAGTTTTCTATGGATGATTTCTAGTCACTCCAGCATTAACGCTCCATTATAACTCCGACGACGACGCCATTAATGGTATCGATTTCTTTATTACTTGACGCTCCCAAACTGTTGTGTGAGTGTCCACTAAAGCAATCGTTGCCCCATTGAGTCTACCCAACTGTGCTTGCTCCCAAAGCGCAGGACTTCTGGATGACATTTTCGTCACTCACGAATGCCGCCTAATAAATGCCCCCGAAGCTCTCGATCATGGTTCTATACTCTGCCTGGCTTCTAATCTACGCAACAGCCACTTCATGAGTGACCATATCCCGTCGATATTAGGACCTTAAATGGTTTACACACATTCCGTCCTCCCTTCATGTCTTACAGCCATTCATGCTGGGTACACATACCTGGAAGCCCAGCTTTGTTTTTCCATTTATGGGAATTTCAGCTTAAAGTCTCCTTACCGCAACCTTCCGCGGATTCACGTTGGAGGAATAAAGGAAGCTAAGTAGGTCTTGTTGATGTTGCGCTGCTGACATAGAATAAGGGGGTACACAAACGAGCGAGGCTGACAGGGCTGACATTGAGATCGGGAGTGGTTCCGTACTTGGTACAAGGATGAATGGCAGCAATCTGAAGCTAGGAACGAAGTCCTTGGTGAGCTTCCCTATATGCCATTGCCAGCTACCGATTATTCGTTGAAGCCCTCTAGGACAAGCTTTCTACAAGCAACGACATGCGTTACGCTAACCGCATCAAAGCACTTTACACAGCGCAAGGAATCTAGAGGTAAATAACCTACTAGGAATGGCCTACCTGCTTGGCAACTCTAGCCCAAGGAACACAATGCTGGGAGTCTGGCCAGACACGTTGAAGTGTCAGTCAAATACATCGAATGAAGCTTGAAAGTGCTGCTTACTGCCCATAGTCGATGGCGATAGCGCTTGGTCTCGAGCGTAATCTCGGTAACGGAGTAGAGCCGATCATGACACTTCCGCACGGAAACACTTGCCTTTCGCTTTGACGCCAGGAAGCGAAAGGCTCTATGTGCGGTGGCCTTCCTCTTTGCGAACGACGATGGCGCTTCCAGGGATGTGGCGGGAAAAGCGCCAATTCTCTCCAGGTACTCTAGGTCGCGATCCCAATCCATCACCGCCAAGGAACAGTTAGAGAAAGGGATATCCGAGCTCTCTTCGTTTCAGCAACGCCTGCCGTGACTCGCTCGAGTTGCAACCGGTATGTCACACACTGAGAACCCTTGGGATTCGAGCATGTCAGATGTCAGCGGGGCGGTTTCAGAGGCGCGTATGAGCTCCTCGGCGAGCGCAAGAACGATACATCACTCCTCGGTCCTCCACCATGCGTCACGGTATTCGCTATAGCTATTCAGATCATTGATTCGGTCTTGCTATGCCCCTATATTTCGCCTACAACGGTTCTCTAGAGTTCCTACCTTTCGGCAATGGCGACATGGATCCTGGTAACTGTCATATAGGGATAATAAAATGCCAGGCTCGCTTCAAAGGCTGGAATGTCGACTCCTGCCCCATCAGGCTCAACGAACCGCACATTCGTATTTCTCGCAGACGAAAGCGGGCGAAGGGAAGAAGCCGGTGCGGTAAACATTAGAGAAGGTGGAGTGAGGTGTAGAGTAAGAGAATCTCGGACATCATGTCAATGGTACAGGCAAAGTGGCTTAGGACGAGGGAGCCTAGACTGCTAGCGACCAAATCCGTAATCTAGTCCCATCCAATACTTGAACTTTTCCTAAGGTACATCCCAGGGAATCAGACGAGCTGATGTGGAAAAGGCTTCAGGGTGGACAGCGAGAGCAAAACTGGGTTTCTTGGGCCTGCTGTGCATACTTGCACCTTCCTACTTTATGCCTATAGGCAGAGGTGAAGCGTAGAGACCCCAAATTAAGGCTAAGTAGATAGATTCGCGTTCGCCGCTACCGCTCGGCTCGTACGAAGGCATGACGGTTTACATTAGGACCAAATATCTAGATGATGAGACTGTTAGGTCTGAAAGGCTTCTAATGCCTGTTTGGTTTGATTGCAATCAGGCCGCAAGAGTTGATGTGCGATCCTTTGCTTCTTTTTTACTTCTGGTGGCATACTAGCGCGGCCTCGAAACCCGGTTTCGTTTCAACAGTGATGAGGAAGATGGCCGAGATGGTTTTCCCTCCTCTTCTCGAGACCTCTGCTCCATCGACGAAGGTGTGCCATTCGACAGATGCGCGCAGTGGATGTCGAAAGTCTCTATCATCCGATAGATAGAGTTTGCCAGCAACACATAATGCGGTGGTAGTGGTAGAAGATCGTTCTAGAGAGGGAAACCACTTCGGATTCCAGACTCTCTAACGCGCCCCCATCTTCGAGCCGGAACGCACGCATGGATAGGTTAGGGCCGCGATACTCCTTCTGGGGAATGGTTTGGCGAGGATCGGCGGTGCTTATTCTCTGGTATGCAGCCCGTACGTGGCTGTAGAAGTGGTGGGGGTCACGTCGTAGATCGATTATCATAGCGGATACGACGGATCCAGGCAGTTGATGAATCGATCGGCTGGATTCGAGGAGGGCATGTTTTCGCACAGGTGATGGTATAAAACCTGCAACATAGTCCGAAAGTATGCTCTGGGCACACCCAGGACATTCCCGCTCCGGTTCAAACTGCCCGCGCTGTCGACCCTGCTGCCACTGTTTAACACCGGGGCGAACGAGCTGTCCAGTTAAAGCCACCCGGTGGGTTATACATGACTGAAGGCTAGTGAGCACTAGCAACGCAGGGAATTGTCTATTCTCTTGCAAATCTCGCGAGAAACGAAGAATAGCAGTGTCTAAATTGATGAGCGAGAAGTTGCTGCAGGGACTAAATCCGAGTACCTCGAACAGCTACCTACGGCATCTGCTCAGACATAGAGCTGCATCTGCGCTGTCCCTTCAACCGCCTTCGCTATGGCTGCGCTTGCAATCCGCGTTCGTCTTAATGCCTCCAACATCTTAGCCACTACACTCTACCATTCCGGAACCTCGATCGCCTAGATAGAGCGGATCTAGTTAACGACCTGGCATCCGGCGTATCTGCTATCTGGGTAGTAGAGGCAAAGTGATCAAGTCTATGGCAAAAAGCATCGTGATGCGAAAAGCCCAGATGTTGGCCCAAGTCCGCGTTAACCAGATGTTGCGTACTAAGAAGGTATGTATCGCGTCGTACCGCCTCCAGTGTCCACATCCCCCTAGATGGACTGTCCAAAATCGCATAGGTCAGCGCGTTTCCCATTGTCGCTTAGGAGGATGTTCTCAGGCTTGATATCGCAGTGGTATAGGCCCTCACTATAAATGTAAATAAGAGCATGGCTTATGTTGTGGAGGATGCTGGACTGCTCGTAAGTCCTCAACGCCGACATCCTGTTCGCATTTATACGCTTGGCAATATCCATGCCAACATATTCGAATTCTAACTGAAGCTTTTGAGCATCATAATGTATAAGCCGGGAGATGTACTAGTGATACAGCCAGCATAGCAGACCATATTCGTTTGACTATTCCTTAGCCATTGCGCGAGCAGCGGGTTTCCAGGCTTAAGAGCTATGGTGACGCCGTTCCATTCGCCTTTGAAGACATTCATACACGCGGTCTTGCCAATTGTTTTCCGCAGCACCTTCGACCTTCCCTACGTTTAGATGCAGCTTTCTTCCCTTTGCCAGAGTTCCCCCGCAAGGGAGGGAATCATGTAGCGGCAGCAGTTTTCTAAACAGCTGGGTTCTTGGCCACTGCGGCACCCGCATCTCCATGGCCTTTATTTCAGGAGCAAAAGGATCGCAATCCTTCTGCTCTTTAGTTATGATTCCTTATATCCGCCAACACTTTAGTTTTGGTGGCAGCTGCGCGATTTGGTTCATGAACAGAATCGTTGGCAGCTTTGGGCGTGGAATGAGATGGGCTAGGCAGTGGAGTGTGAGCAGTGTGCGCTTGCGCTGCTTTTGCGGCTCCACATTACAAGATCTGGAGGCGCGTTTAGGTGGTTCTAGAAGGACAGTGTACTGCTCTTGGTACGACGAAATCCGGGCCTCAAAGAGAAGCGCTTTCGTGAATTCGATGCACCATGGCCCACTTCTGAGCCTCATCTGCTGTTGGTGTCTGAGCTCTAGAACGCATTTTGGCTTGCACTTGGGCCACATGTGGAAGATAGTCGATTAGTGTGGAGGTTGAAGCGCTCAACCCGGTCACTGTCGGGGTCAGGATATATGAGTGCGCAGTGGGTGTGAATCCGACTGAACTCGTTTCTGGCTTCTCTTCGGTCTCCACAAGCGTCAGATGGCAATGCTGCGCTGATCTTAGAACAAATTTTGCCATGCGTCAATCCTGGGTGATGAGCACCCACACTCAATTTGACAGACTTGGACTTCGGGAAAAGTTTGAGCCGCAGCACAGGGGCTCAGTCTATTATTAAGAAATTGCGGCCATGGAGTGGGGACATAATGGTATATTATGATGCCGGGATCCGGCGAGCGGTGGGAAAGGTGAGGCGAGGCTCAAGGCGCCTAGAGCATCTCGACCCGTGGCGCTCCGAGATCGAGATTGACGCACCAACCTCCTCACCACCTCACCACCTCGCAACCTTGCAACCTCGCAACCTCATCTCGCAGCCTATCGCTGTCAGCTGAATCCCCCACAAGCTGCAGCCGCGAACATGGCCCCTGCCCGCTCCCCTTTCTTCCAGTCCCTCTGCCTCGGAGCCATCAAAGCATCGCTGAACCTGAAGCAGCCTGCGGGCACGCAGCCAGCAGTCCGCTTCGCCAACGATGGCTACATTTCCGAATGAGATGCGCGCTTCAACCGACGTTCCATCCCTCTTATACCTTGTTGGGCCTTATTGTCAGCGTCGTTGGACAGAAAACCGCCCAGGGTGACACCAGTGCAGTCGAGGCTGAAGTCGCGCGATGCATGCAACAAGAGACCGACCGCCTCGAAGCAGTCATGGACATACCAAACTCAATTCCTTCCTCGCGGCTCCTGATGCGCTCTGGGATGAGTGCCATGAGCTCCTCGCAAGTGACCACAGTGCGGAGCCATGCTCAGTTTGTCGTTGGCGCAGTATCACTGATCCACCGCCTTCACGCCGTCTCGAGCCCGTCTGCACCGTTCGGCGAGCTGCTGCCCTCGGAAGATGCCGTTATTGTCGCCGCGGGTCGAGGACCAGCGAAGAGGAGGAGGCTCACCCGGCCCACCAGCCTGCATAACCATCGTCGTAGCGAGAGGATTGCAAAGATAAGGAATTTTGAAAGGTCCCTTGCCTTGTCGTAGAAGCTTGTATGTTTTGCGCTGACACATGTGGCACTAGATCGCTGGGCTGGAGGATACGCGCACGGCGTATGCTCGTACCTATTTCGCGACGCGGCATTCGCGTTACAACTCTATTCGAACACCTCCGCTACCTTTGATCGCATACGTTGACGCCACAGCCTTGACTGCATAGCTGGATGCATTTTGGAAGGCAGCTAGTCTGTCGACCAGGTTTCTTTGCCTACGTCCCCATCCACGACGACGTTCGATCTCGCCGGAATTAGACCGCATGGCCAACTTACTAGCCACAAGCGGGCGATGAAACGGACACACTTCAGACATATATGGAAGGGGAAAGGAGCATACCCGGCGCGGACGGTGCTACGGGTTGGAATGGCTATCAGTGGAGGCAGCAACGCGAGGAAGCGGGGCTCATCGCCTCTCGAGAGGCAACGGCGCTTCCCTCGTTACTATATCGCGAGCAGCTGGGGGAGGAACGAACGGCATTGGTTGGAGCGGGGTTGGAGGGAGGCGTCTATATCAGCTGTCCTCTATACACACTTATATGAATTCACCAACAACAAAGCACCCTCAACGCCGTGTAATGCCGACGCTGATCGTGACGCTGATCCCGCTGACTCGACTAATTTCTCAACCTCTCAAGACCCAGGCCTAGCCGCCCTGATAGCTTGCGGAGGGTCGAATCGCTCAACTGAAGTGCCATTTCGTAATTCGGATTAGCGCTGCAATCTACCTCGCCGCAGGCTCAACCTCACCGCCTTCACATCCACGCCCAAACGACACGATGAAATGAAACGCGGCACTCAGCCTACATGCTTCCCACCTACCGCGACCACACCGCGTCTTCGACACTGGTGCAGAGCCACCAGGATCCAGCATCCCCCGTAAACCCGCCCGACTTCATTTTAGTGTTCGTGACAATGTTAGAACACTCCAGCAGACGCACTCCATATTCGAGGTGGAAAAATGGACTCCTGCGACAGCACTGTATCCCACATCTACGCCGACACCGCGAGTCCTTGGTCCTGCCCCTCGATCAATACCAAGCGCCGCGAGGGGTTTCGTAATCGGAGGCGACATTAGACCTTATCGATGTGGGCCACACTCCTACGTTCTGCCTTCGGGGATCTTCGACAAGCAGATTACGTCGAATAGAACATGGATGTGGGCTTACGATAAAGCGATGTACATACTCGTTCAAGAAAGGGAGGTCAGATTCTTTTTTACATGCCGAAGGATGTCTCGACGCCGCCGTAAGTACCGCTCTTCGTCTTGCTTCTATTACTGCTAACGATGTGGATAAGGCATTTTTCATTGACGGCCAGGCCATTAACTGGGGTTAGCGATTGCCGAGCAGTTTCAAAGTCTGCTTCTATGAGACCAATCACCTGAACTGCACCCGCATTCTTAATCCATGACTCTACTTATACATGAAGCCTAAACCCATCAACGAAGCGCGCCAACCTCATCCGCACCGCACCGAAGCGCGCCAATCTTGGTGACGTTGCCGAAATCCCTTGCAGTGAACGTCCCGTATACGTCAAAAGGGGCGGAAGAACGGCTTCGGCCCTAGGGAAGAAGTAGTAGGTTTCCCACTGCCATCGAGACCACCTTAGCGCATCTAATCTCTTACGTATTCCCGTTATCGCAGTTAATCAGGCTTCTCGTCCCTTCGTAAAGGGTGTAGAAGGTCTTCCTCGCCTTTACCACCTACGCCAACATGCTCGACCTCTCTTTCCTGCACACTTATCCATTCCGGGAAGTTCAACTCTGGTCATAGCTCACTAAAGATGCCACTGTGCTCGTCTACATCGTAATAGCGAACACTGCGTTCCAATACCACCATCCCGCTTGAATGGGACGCGATTGTCGCACTACCTCTTGCCAGCGGCCATGAAATGGCGATCCTCATCAGAAGTACTTGAAGATTTCAAGAAGTGGCACATCCTGCAAGAGGGGGTCTCAAACCAGATTCACCCTGTAATCAGAACGTACGGGCATTGAAGTAAAGACGATCGAGCCCCACCCGCTGCATCATCTCGTACAGGCCACAGTAGGAGCCTTCATCCTCCCATAGCCAAGAGTCAGGGTCGCCTATACGCATATGAGGCCATCCATATCTCCAGTAAGTTATCGCCCATTACCGCTTCGACGCTCGATCTTTGCTGGAGAGAGAATGGTCTAGTTGAGCTGCTCATTTGCAGAGTTCACAGTCCATGGATCACAACTGATAATGCCTCCGAACTCTCTGGTCTGGTCGACCTGTTATCAATCCGACGTTGGGGCAGTCCCAGCGAACAAAAGGCGGCCTTCTCTGTTCGTTCTGTACCAGCATCGACATAGATCAGATATGCAACATTGATCCTCGTTTCGTAAAGGAAATATGGGTTGATGTACTTTGCAACATGAACGAGGATAGTTATCCCTCTACCATTAACATTATGAATTCACTACGCGACTTCGGTGTTCCAGACAAGATTTCCCCTAAGATTACCTATTTAGGTCTCTCTCCCGGGGCAGAGAATTAGTAGAATCCAGCGTCGAACGAGAATAATACGCAACGTACGAGAAGCTCTTCCCTATCAAGAGCTATGGATCGATCCTGCTACCTCAAACGACACCGTACTTGAACCCACAGCTATCTTCATGTGCACCTCCCCCCTGCAGATCTTCAAGCCTACGTATTCAAGATATGGTTTCATGCGGGTGAATCGTATACCTGGGAGAGTGACTCAGGTGTCTAGCAGATTGTATCGGATCCACCAAAGCTTTACGAAATAGCTCATCCAGTGGTATGCATTCTTTGCGGCTAATCGGTTAGAACGCTGCATTTACAGATTCTTGGTTAGGGGAAGAAGGCTAACATATCTTTAAATCTTGACCGCTATCTAGAAGACAGCAGCCGCGGTTCTATAAGGCTTCCATGGAATGAAACTCGAGAATGGCCTGGATGACGCCGACAAGAATATGACTAGCAAGAACGGCGATATCAAGGGCGAGATTCGCCTAGATTACACCCACCAACCAACACAGTGCGAGGAGAATGGTGACGACATGAATAAAGTCTACTAGTACAACGCCGATCGGCAGAACGTGAGCGAAAGCGGCGCTGTTAAGAACGAGATCCCCCTAGACAGCGACGGCTAGCGCATAATTGGTGCCAAGAATGAGACTCCTATCTTCCGTATCTACTACCTTGCTTCTACCTCTAAGATGGTATCTCCTGGGGCTACTACATCTCGATGTGGTCTTCTACAGAACCTCCGTTCTGTTGGCTTCTCTCCACCTATTTCACAAGTAATTTCGGAGATGTGATAGGTT